GTTTACTAGAAAGAGTACCCAGTTGAGGAGCACACTTGGGAACCTACTAAGAACCTTGCCTACACTTCTAAGACAATCTAAGATTTCTATCAGCTTCATCCTAGTGCTCTGCACAAACTCAGCCTTACAGATTTCCAAGCCCTACTGTTCTGACTTATGCCTGAGCTACTAACCAAGCCTAATGTTCACCAATTAGGACAATTGGTTTTAGAGGGGGGGTGATGTTATAGTTCTCTACTCTTGTACCTTCAGTTCTGAGGGTTCTACACCCTTCTGTACCAGAACTCAGGACTTCTGTCCCTCAGGGGTGCTGTCTATAGACTATATGTATACTGACTCTTACTACTACCCTTTCTTACTTCATCATTCTATTCCTTTGACCACTCCTTCATTCTTTGTTCATTCTATAGTCTCTTACCCTTTGTCTATCCCTTCATTCTTTGTACCTTTATCTTTGATCTTCCCTTCTTTCATTCTTCATAGTTTATCATTCTTAGTAGCTTATACTCCCTGAGTACTCTTGTGTAGTTTAGTATATATAGGTGTACAAGATCAGACTGGTCCTGTAGTCTTGATCTTGTCTACTCTAGGTAGTCCTGTACTCTTAGGCTCACTCTATATACTCTACCTTGTCTCACTCTCTCACTCTCTCTATCTGTTCTGCAAGTTCTGACTATGTTCTAGTGCTTACATTCTGTATTTCTGTTGTGTAGGATAGTTGTAGCCTGGGTCCCCTTGCTGAGCCTTCAGGTCCCCTCTATACTGTTACTAACAAAATTGTCCCTATTCATAATTCCTCTCTCTACCTACTTCTGTACTACAGTATCTAAGTCACTTCTAGCATATTATACTCTTATCTTAAGGCTTGAGTAATACATAATTACTCCCCTCTTGAATGTATTCTAAAACACCTTATCTGTATTATTCTACAAATCCTCTACTTCTACAGACACATACTTTATTACAAGTGGAATAATATCTACTCCTACTATGTTACATTTGTTTGTAAGACTTTCTATGTCTACAAAATACCTTTACAACTCTCAGGGCTTGGTTCTGTCAAAGGACAGTGTATTAGAATTTGTGTGTTTACTTGTAGTTACTAAAGTAGTTACATGTTACTTACAAGCTGTTATTACTGTAACTAGAGCTGTGTTGTTAACAATATACTAGTTGCTAGTAAGAGTAATAATACTAGCTACTAGACTGTCTCTATTTCCTACAGAGACAACTGTACTCTTCTGTAATGTAGCATTCCAGTTACAGTCAGTTGTAATATTAATACAGTTTAGAAATGTTGTAGGGTTGCTAGCAAACTTGTATATGATTCTGAGAATGTGAAATGTAGTAGTTTGTTACAAATTCAGAGACTGATTACTTGGGGATTGAGTAATAATACTATAAGGTCTTCTTCTTCCTCCTCTTTGTTACTGACTTGTTTGCTCTACTGTTCTAATAGTGTCTCTAAGGTCTCTATAATATTAGATTCTGTACTTCTAGTAGTCAGACTGTTAGAAGTTTTATAGTACAATTGGATTCTAGCAGATCTGTGTGTTCTACTCAATACAGGTACTAGTACTGACTATAACTGTGTTGACCTAAGGCTACAGGCTAGTGTCTGAGAAACTTGTTTAGGATACTGAGAACTGTTGGAACTTGTGTTGTTTAACTATAGAAACCCTTCTTACAGTAGGCTCTAGATGAAACTCCTGTAAAGTGTTTAAGAGAAGAACACAGGTGATTTGTTAAGTTCAAGAGAGAGCTAAACTACAAGTCTTATCAGACTAGAGTAGTTCTAAACAGGTGTGAGTTCTTCTAACACAGTTACAACCTTAGAAGAGAGACATGAATAACAGAAAGTACACTTGTAAAGTACACAACAAACAAACTAATACAGAAATGATAAAGACTAAGACTATACCTTATACTAGAGGACTTTGAGATGAAAGATAAGAGCTAAATCAATAGGTGAACTATCTGAATTCCCTCTGTATCTAGTATATAAGTAGCTGTATTTATAGTTTTCTGAGTTCTAGAAAAGTATAGTACTAACAGGGAAATGTTATGACTGAACAAAAGAAAAAATAACAAAAATATACATGAACAAATAAGAGAACCTTTTGCTAGAGGTTGGAAGAAAATGGGGTGAAAATGTATGAAGAAAATTTAAGTAGTTTACATTCTAACTATAGGAAATATTATACAAAAGGAAAAGCAAGATTTACATTGAAAGAAGTAGAAGGTTCTCATACTGTTACTATCTGATTAGTACAGACAAAGTGTGGAGAGTTCCAAGATTTCTAGCTGTCTCCTGAGATCATCACTTTGATCACCCTAATGTCCTATCTGATTGGAAGATTGTAGTACTTTAATCTAGGCAATAATAATGTAATAGTTTGCTGAGCCACTTACTGTAATGTAACTTGTGTTCTGAGCCTGTAATAAGTACATAATTTGTACATCCTGTAAGATAAACAGTGTGTGTAAGTCCATTCTATGACTGTACACATTTGTGGTTCTGTTTACAAACACTTACAATGTAAAATAGTTGAGTGTTCTTAGAATACACTTCTATAAGTCACATAGATGTTTAGAATTGATTACTATGATTGTTTATATGTAATGTACAGTTCTTAGTGTAATACTGATTGTTTTAGTATTAAGCTAGGTCTGCTTATAACTACTAATCTGGTAGGACAGTAAGGGTGACAGTCAGCTTAGGAGGGTCTATGTTTACACTACAAAGGAATTGACACTAAACTAAAAAGGGTAATGAATAGAAGAAGGGTGATAAAAGTTTAAAAGGGTTTAGAAAGTTTAAAATTTAAAAATGTAAAAGAGTTAGGACAAGGAAAAGAGATTAACACAATAGTGTGTACTAATGCCTAAAACATAAGAGAGTTATAGGGTAGTAATAGGTAGTCTTAATCTGATATTAGTAACAGTATAGAGGGGACCTGAAGGCTTAGTAAGGGGACCTAGGCTACAACTATCCTACACAAAAGAAATATAGAACACAAGTACTAGAATGTAGTTAGAACTTGCAGAATAGATAGAAAGAGAGAGTAAGACAAGTGTAAGGTATATAGAGTAAGCCTAAGAGTATAGGACTACCTAGAGTAGACAAGATCAAGACTACAGAACTAGTCTGATCTTGTATACTTATATATACTAAACTATACAAGAGTACTCAGAGAATAGTAAGCTACTAAGAATAATGAGCTACAAAGAATGAAAGAAGGGAAGGTTAAAGATAAAGGTACAAAGAATAAAGGGATAGACAAAGGGTAGAAGACTATAGAATGAACAAGAAATAAAGGGGTGGTCAAAGGAACAGAATGATGAAGTAAGAAGGAGTAGTAGTAAGAGTCAGCCTGTATATAGTTTATAGACAGTACTCCTGAGGGACAGAAGTCCTGAGTTCTAGTACAGAAGAGTGTAAAACCTGTAGAACTAAAGGTACAAGAGTAGAGAACTGTAACAATAGTTCTAGATATTAGTAGTAGTATTAAGATAGTACTTCCTTATACAATTTCAGGACTAGGATAGTAAGTCTTTCTATAGCTTGTTTCTTAACAGTGTTCTAGTAGAGTAATTGTATAGTAGCTTTAGATCTTAGTAGTAGTACCTAGATAGTACTCTTCTAGTATGATTTCAGGACTAGTATTGTTCTTAGAATTAAGGAGCTCAAGTTTAATTGTTCTCTAGTTTGAGATTGTAATAAGTAGTAAGGGAAGTATGAGTAAAGACAGACATAGATAATCTGCTTAAAGTAGTATAGTAAAAGCATATTCTTAAGTAGCAGAACCTTAATTGTAAACAGCTGACCAGACTCACAATAATACACAATGTATACAACTCTAGTACAACCACACACACTCTTCTTAATACCTTCTCCTAGAATCCAGGGACCAATCTAATAAAGGTCTACTAGGAGAGGGTGGCACAGTAAAAGCATATATTTGAGTAGTAGAATCTTACTTGTAGCTAACTGACAAGACTCACAATAAGGCATAATGTACATAACTCTAACACAACTGTATACAATCTTCCTAACATGTTCCTCTAGAATTCTGGGACCAACCTAATAAGAGTCTGTTAGGAGATCAAAGGTGGGCCAGTAGGTAGTAACATTCTCCCTATAAGTCTTTAAGAATCAAGAGTGAATAGGAATTCAGTATAGTATTTGTGAAGTTTGTAATTAACTAGAGTATTACTATAGAGTACTGTAAGAGTGTAGAAGGTAGTGAATGTATAGAGGTAAGCTGAGGGGAGGCTGACAATCTGGTAGTACAAGTAAAAGATAGTAGATAAGAGGTAATCCCTAAATTTTGTATTGTTTAAAAAAAAGTGTAAAGGCCAGAGCCTCACTCAAGAACACAGAATAGGCAAAGATCTGGGATTAATGAGAGGTTGACCTAAGTATAGGAGCAAGTACAAAGATAAGATCTAATTAATCTACAATTAGCCCTTTTATATTTATCTAAAGTCACATGTGTAACCTTAGAGGTTACAATTTGTTTTGTAATTCTTGTCCAACTCTTGTATGACATTGCATTTATATCAAATAATTACATAAGATTATATTCAAATAAGAATTCTGTCCCTATATTGTAATTTTAAGATAAGTATACTATTAACATGTATGTATTTATATTTAATTGTATAGTTTACTAATACTTAATCTACCTTACCATATCTAGAAGGGTATACAAGATTATTTCATGTTTTGTAATGATATGAAAACAACTGTAATTGATACAATACTAAAAATAAAACTTTGTTCAACTATAATGACTGTTAAGTACTTAGTTTTAATCAACCTTCTTTTTATCAAGTTCACAGTAAGTAATTCACCAAGTGTATTTCTATGCTTCCAATTGCATTATGTCTCTATAGTAATAGTACATTTGATTCTTGAGTAAAGGAGGATAATTGTAATTTGTATGCCTTTCAAGTAAATAAAATAAAATAAACTATAAAACAAACTTACAAAAAATCACAATCAAAAGTAACTGGTCAAAGAAACAGAAGTACGAAAGGACGGCGCACAGTCTAATTGTCTAATCGCTGTCAAAGAAAAACGAAATAAAACAAAAATAAAGTCATCGAAAGAGAAACAACTGGCAAAAAAAAACAGCCAAAAAATGGATTGGGATGGGATGGGATATCATTGTCAATCGGATTCATAGTCATAGTCATGTTCACGGTCAGAAGAATATTCATCTTCATCTTCATCTTCGTCCGAATCATATCGCGCGTCTCGTTCTCGCATCATTCTCCTCGACCTAGACGTAGCAGCAAAGTTAGAGGAAGAAGCCTTAGCGAAGGCCGCTGGTCGTGAGGCCATTGACATCGATATCGATACAGGCCCACGCACAGGACTACGCAGAGCCCAAGCATCGCCTCGGCTCGTGGTAGCATTACTCTCATAGTTGCTTGGCCTGTACTGCATTGCTACCGAAGATGATGAAGGCCAAAGCGGGTGACTTGACGATCCAGATCCACCTGAACTTGATGAGGACGAGGAGAACGGGGATGGTGGAATTGGGTTTGGGTTTCGGAAAGACGATGAGTGTGGTGGTGGAGCACCGTATGAACGAATCTTCGAGGGAAGGACGTTCTGATATGTATATGTCGACTGTTGTGCCGGTGGTGGGGCTCTATAACTTGAACGAGGCTTGTCGGGAACGTGTAGTGCACCCGGGAAGGGAGGAGGTGGAGGTGGAAGCTGCCGAGCGTTGGATCTCGAAATCGAAATCTTAGACGGAAGTATCAAAGGCGGAGGAGTCGTCGAGATCGGCGGTAGAGAAAGCGTATGTGAGTTCGTAGATGGTGAAGACGAAGTCGAGGATGCTGCAGACAACGTCGGTGGACTTGACTCTCTCGAGGACATCGACATCGATAACGTAGACGGAAGTGGCTCGTTGTTAAGGAGAGCAGTAACACTCGATGTTGCGTCAAATTGCCTAACAGGATCGTCAAACGTACTCGGAATGCACGGTATTGTCTCGGTCGATACGTAGCCAACGTCGACGATCGGCTCGATACTCGGGAAGTCATCCACAACCATCGGTCCTCTCGGCCTAGTAGTAGTTGTGGTAGCCGTCCTCTTCTTCAACTCCTTCTCCAATTCCTCTCCCTCCACACCCTCCTTCAAGACTTTAGCAACTTCATCACACCACTGACTGGCAGTCCTCATCTCAACCTCTCCCCTCCCCTTCCTTACCTTCCGTCGATTCCTAAGCATATACGGATCAGTCGGATGGTACTGATACTCCGGATGCTTTTCCAAATGTTTCGCCTTCTCCTCTTCAGCACGCGCGAACCAAGGTTTCTTCTCCTCAGGAGACATACTCTTCCATACGTTCCCCGCAATACGAGATAAGTTCTGACTATGCGCCTCGATGGTCGAAGGGATCCCGCCATTAGTTACAAAGTCCGTGCGGAAGATGATAAATGCGTTTCGAGGTCGAGGGATATGTCCTTCCTCGCGCTTCCGAGCATGCGACTTGGATGATTTGCGAGGAGCATTAGTATCAGTTTGGGATTGATCACTTTGACTCGAGTCATTGGAATTAGGGGATGGTGAAGGGAATATCGAGCCTGTCACTATAAACACATACGAACATACGAAAGGGAGTGTCCCAGCGGGCAGTATCGATGTCAGTGAGTATCATCAAAATCAGTAAATTAAAGTTGCGATAGACTTACCCAGATCGGCCTGACGAGGTCTGATATCAATAGACCTGACTAAAGGCATCTTTTGCTTCTATCCGCGAGTGCAAGTGCAAGCCCCGGTTAAGAACAATAAGCAAGTAGGATAATGGCCCAGGCAACGACACCGATAATAACAGCGACGCGAGGTAAGCCAGGTGGGGATCGAGAGCGAGAGACGAGCGAGAAAGGACCAGCAGTAGCCGTAAATATCCAGAACAATGAAGACGAGACGACAAAAACGAGGTGGGCGTCAATGTCAGATATATATACCTGCCCTGCGTGCGCGGGTGTGCAGATCTGTCCGAGCGAGAAAAAACCACACCAACAGGCCAATGCAAACCAGCCCAGGCAGGCAGGCTGCTAAGGCAAGGCAGGGCAGGGCAGCGGTGTGCGCCAAACTTTCCTACTCAATTAATATGTCCATTGAAAGCAAGTCCTGCCATTATGCGTAGCAAGCGCACATCACTACACTAGGCCTGGCCACGTCTCTCTCCATCCATCCATATTTGAATCTTGCACCGCCATCGCGAAATCGAAAAAACAAATTCGAACTTCCTGGCTGAGGACATAGTAGAATGTAGAATGTAGTGTAATAGGTAAGGTAATGCGCCAGGTGGATGATAAGACCCCAAGCCGAGTACAGCGCACAAAGTTGTTGACTTTCTCCCCTATTTTCCAATTCTGGTTAGCGCGTGGTGAAAGGACGAGAGTCATCGCGGCATAGCGATGGCCAATCTTGATTTGCGATCTAAGAACAATGGCGGAGCACAAAGGCGCCCGTTGCACTAGGATGGAATACAAACGTGCATGACGAGAGTGATACGATGGATAAGCCGGCCGGAATATCTTTTGCATATGCAACTGAGATATGGATCTTTGACTCTGAAGAATGTGAAGAGAAGAGACATCCAAATATGACAAATTCGAAGATGTCGTCTCTCTCCCCCTGATCGTTTGTTTCGACGGAAACAAATCGAATATGGCGGAGTACTGGTACTTAGGACCGCCGGCGGATTCAGTCAGGGTGGATAGCGTGCTTTGTTAGTTGCATCGCAGATGGAGACGACGGAGAGGTTGGTTGGCTTGATCGCTCCAACTGCATTGAACCAGATTGAAAGAGAAGAAATTAGCTTCCGATGTCGAGCTCTTTCGAGAATCGACGCTCGACCATCCTTTCCTCGCCCAAACAGGAACGCACAAGGCTCTCAAGGCTCAAGGCTCTCCCCACCCCCAGAACCGAAGCGAGCCAATCAACTTTCCCGCTCTCCGTCATTTGTCTCTTCGTCGTTCGACTCTGCGGTTCTGTTAGCGTCTTCATTATTACGATCTCCCGCCTGTCCTCCTGTCTCCTGGTCTGACATACCGCGAACCCCGTCACCGTCGCCATTGGCACTAGTCTCTAGCTCGGGTTGGAGATTAACCTGCTCAGGGAACCATTCACATTCCGCCCAATTCACCGTAAATTCGTTCTCGCGTGTTACGCGTACCTCGACGCCCTCCTCCTCAAGCGCTTCACGCTGTCTTTGTGCCCCGTTCGTTCCAGGACCGCGTGAAGAGATCTTACCAGTCGAAGAAACAACGCGTTGCCAAGGCACATCCGAATCCTCAGGCAAATACTTCAGCGCTTTTTTTAAGAAAAAAAAATTAGATAAAAACGTAGCGAGAATAAAATGTAAACGTTAGATGCCGCGTAAGTGAGATGATTGTGAGTGCTTGACGATGGAGACGGAGATGAAAGGAACGTACCTTGCCCGACGTGTCTAGAATAGTTCGGCATCCCAACCAGCTTCGCTACATGTCTGCAATTTACATCCAGATTAATCTCCTTAGCACTAGCACTAGTATGCAATAATAATAATATAACTAAATACATAGTATAGATAATAGATATAGATATAGTAGAACCGAGCCCCTGCAGACAGGAACGAGCGGAACCAAAACAGATAATAATATAATATTTTATTGCAATTTGAGAGCCACGTACCCGTAACTCGTCGCTCGACCAAATGGTATCATACGAACGACTTGGTAGACCTGTCGTTAATTTGTTTCACACCTCGTTAGTTAGCGATCGACAGTGCCAATGTATCATCTACGATAAATGCTCACGGCTGCGTGAAATTCTGCACTATCCATGGTTGGTTTTGCTTGATGATGGTGATGGAGGGAGAGTGCAAGACGCGCTGTGATTGTTAGCGCCGATATGGACGGGATGTGTCATTTGTGGGCCCATTCGATGGTGCCAGTCTCACGCACATACTTATGTAGACTGAGACAGAAGCCAGCATGTCTGATAGACGTCAAGCATCAAGCATCAAAGCGGCGGTCCAGCTTCTTTGTCATTACACTTTCTATATCAAAACACAAAGCCATCTCTGATTTTCTTTTCTTTTCTTTTCCTTTCTTTAAAATGTCTTTCATCCACCTTTCGGTCTTTGTGACGTTTCGTCTCGTCTCATAGCACCTTTTCCACCATCCCTAACCCCTCGCTCTCGAGAATTTCCATGATCGGCTTCACGATGTCCATACTGTAAGGCGCTTGTACTCCTGTTTTGTTTAGCACGCCGTCGAGAATGAGTTGTGTAGCGATACCGCATGGTGTCCCGACAGTGCGTGCCATGGCGGAGTATCCTGATCCCGTCGGCTCGCCATGCAGTTCAAGGGTTGACGTGATTGTATCCTACACAAAACAACAAAGGCGCATTCGCACTCAGCACTCGTACGCGGCCAGTAAATACGGTAACGAAGAACGTACTTGCTTGCCATCTGCCCACTCGACGACAAACTTGTGTTGCAGCATAATCAAGTCCCGCTCGCCAGGGGCATACTGCATAAGCTTTTCGAGCTGTGCACATAACGTATCAAGCAAGTTACCCGCGCGCGGCGACACCTTCTCCTGTGAGAAGAGCCCGATCCAGCGTAGTCCAGAGATGATCCGTGTCCGCTCGGCGTCGGAAGGGAAACTGCATAACGCGTCGATACGCGCGATCAGCGAGCTACATATATGCAATTTGTCCAAAATTAGTCAAATCTTTGTTTCTTCGTTTGACGGGCGGAGGTAATTGAGGGGGATAGCTGAAGTGAATGACGTACGTTTCAGACGAGTCGTTAGCACCGATCGCCTTCTGAGTCACCTCTGCCCAAGTAAGGCTGTCGTTCAACCAATCTTTCTCGGACGCGTCCAGCCAACCGAGTTTGACAAGGACTTGAATGAACTCCGGGAACCCTTGGTATCGTAGCGTACCGCGAACAACCGTCTCTGCTTCTGGGATGTTGTATGACTCTCGGAATGGAGTTGAGTCGCGGTTCGGATATGCGACAAAGGCATATGCAGGAGAGATGAAGTACGGCTTCGCCTCGCCCATCAGCTCAGAACCCGGGACGTCCTTCCTCTTACCCTCAGAATAGTACGAACCTGGATTGAGTAAGGCTAGAAGCACACCGCGCGAAGACCATGAGAACTTATATCCAAGAGGATTATCCGCGTAGGCCGGTGAAGGAAGACCACCACAGTACGACAAAAACTGCTTGATTTTCCCGCCCTTCGCGTGTACCTCTGAGATCATCTTAACAGCATAGAGGTGGTCAATACCTGGATCCAGCCCAATCTCGTTCATTACAATGATACCAGCGGCTTTCGCTTCGGCATCGAGCTCGCGAACTGCAGGCGAAATGTAGGAAGTTGTGACTGCGTGAGTCTTTCCTTTGATCGCTGCCTTGATCACCGCTGCATGGTACGTGTAAGGAATGAGCGAGATGACGAGGTCGTGAGCGGCGACAGCCTTCTCAAGTGCCTCCGTATTATTGACGTCCAACGAAATTGCAGATGTATTGGGTAAACCTTCCGCAAGAGCTTGCGCAGAGGCAAGTGTGCGACACGCGATCGTGAGCGAGTTAGCGCGATTTCGTACGATGTACTCGGCAGCAGGCCGAGCAACGAATCCACTCCCGAGCAGCAGGATTTTCTTCTCCGGACCGATGGTTTTTGTGAGAACAGGAGTGATATCTTTGTTGTCCTCAAGCATCGAACGTCCGAACTCGGGAAGCACAAACGCCGCGCGATGTACATCTGCGCTGTAATACCTGCAGTTGGGGACATTGCGCAACGGAGTCTTCAAATCACGACCAGCCTCCTTCGCGCCCATGGTGAACCCAATTTGGCCAGCCGGGTACGTAGGGATTGTCGTGAAGGCATATTCAACGGTAGGGAAAAGTGCTTTCGTGGTGTTGCGGAGCTCATGGATAAGCGGCAGATGTATCCAAAGGCACTCTCCCTGAGAACATGCATGTCCTCCCGGAGTAAGTGCATCGTGTATGAGTTGAAAATAGGGCTTTTGGAATAAGGAAGCGGCTGGTCCGGCGGGATCTGATGAATCAGTGATAATCACGTCGTAGGTCGCAGTGTTATCCGCGAGGTACTTGAATCCGTCACCGATGAAAACGGTTACGCGGGGATCAGAGAGAAGAGAGGACATGTGAGGGAGGAATTGTTTTGATACTCTAATAACGGCCTAACTAACAGTTAAAAATAACACGCATTAAATTTAATCATAACATACCTCGTCGATATCACACAGAACGACGTTTTCAACAGACTCGTGCTTCAGCACCTCTCGGACGACACCTCCATCGCCGCCACCGATCACAAGGACTTTCTTCGGATTCGGATGACTAGCGAGCGGCAAGTGTGCAATCATCTCCTGATATGAATATTCGTCGCGTTCGGTGCATTGGATAGCACCGTCCAGCACCAGCACGTTCCCATACGTTGCAGACTCGAAGACAAGCACGTCTTGGTATTTGGACTTTTCGACGTGGAGAATTTTGTTAACCCTCAAGGTCATTGCCTGACCGGGCCATTGGTGTGAGATTTCCCTGAACCAACCATCTTTCCAGTGGTCAGTCTATAGCATATAGTCAGGTTAAGAGACGCACCAACGATAGACGGATGGGAAAGAGGAGCCATAATCTTTTCAGGGATTTGCCTGAAATAGAGGCCATCAATACTCCAGAAAGTTCTAATCTATACAATGAATCGGTACGTACACACTGGTCGTGGTCAAGAACCAAACCTGAATTCACGATTTGCAAAGCATAACCGAGTGACTCGAAATTTTTTCGTTATCTTATCAAAATCTTTGTCACGTGCATTTGCTTTCTTATCAAATTTATTTTGATATTCAACTTTTTTTTAATATTACAATGCGTCCACACTTGAGTCTTATCTCCAGGAAGGCCAGCAACCTGGAACTAACGTGGCCAACTGCATCACCAAATATAGAGCAGTTATGCCATTTGACAATGGCCGCTCTGCAAGTAAACTCCTGTCGAACTTTCTACAGCACTATTAGCATATTTGTGCCAACAGACAAACTCGGCATGTCATTACCTTTGCTTCCAACCGGCTCTTCAAATTCCATGCTGCTCACGGATTTCAGACGATAATTCGTGCCTCCGTTGACTCCGAGCTTCCCAGCCTCCTTCAAATTAAATAGCGTACGACTACCCAAGACACAGAGGAACGACGGATTTCCAATCATCTGTAAGAATATAACCAACGTCAAGTTTTCTCTTGGTAGCTTAAAGACCACAACAGTGAGAATGTTGCATGTCACAGTACTACAATCTTATTAGCTGGATGTTATCATTTCAATGTCCCAGAAAATAACTCACAGAATGAAGTATAGTGTCTTATCACAAATGACCACCTTTACAAGCTCAAAGCCCTTCAATCCAGCAGATGTTTCCCAGTACTCTGCAGCTTTATACATTGCAAGTATCATAAGAAACAGGCTGTATATCAGAGGAATAGCCCTAGACAATATAAGTATAGTTGATTAACCTGATACAGGATATTCATACCAATCAGCAACTACAAGTCTGCTTAATGGTTCACTAGTCACAACACATAGTGATTTATCATTTGTTACTGTGGCTGTAGTTGCTGTTGGTACTTAATTAGTAGTAGACTTTATTTTATAGTGTAATAATCACCTTTTGTTAACAGAGTTACATATACAAGGAGAGCAAGCTTTGTAATTCCCTCCAGTCTAAGAAGAATGTATAGGAATAAAGAAAGCCATCCATCTGGAGTAAAGTCAGAGCTATCCTTTCCACAAAAATTACACATACTGAAAGAGTAAAGTGCAAGGACCTGAATGAGGATATCTGAAGATTACTGATGAGTGAAATTTGTGAAATTTGACAAAACACAATGAGATAATGATTACAGTCAATCCTAACAATACTGATCCAAACTTGGAGAGGAAATGAGCAGGGAATATAGATTTCTAAACACTTAAGCTTACTTGCAATATTTGTTCCCCAATACAAACATCTAGCTGTAACAGAGTGAGTGTTGATTAATGTTGAGCAAACTTTTTACTCATACCTGTAACTTGTGTTATTCTCAAATATTACACTGAGCAATATTCTACTCACTTTTCCTGTGTTTAATTATATAAATGGTCTTGAATGAACATGAATTAAATATACTGTGTTCAAATTATAAAAGGAACTACAAAATAAAGCCAAAATTGTGCCACAGATCCTAATGTATTGATTCTATAATAAACTTAGTCATAGAATCTTATAGAGTTGTAACATACATACAATAAAATAAATCAAGTTGACAGATTTGTATATTGTGCTTCTCTGGGCAGATCAGTTAGTAGATTATAGTATGAGACACAGATAAGAAGGTAATACCCAAAAGAACTTGACCTGCAGTATTTTGTTAAGTTGGACTGTGAAGAGAACTATATGTGATTGACAAACCTCTTTATCTATTGTGATAACTAAAAACAGTGTTGCATATGAAAAGGGAGATAATATGAGATGATATTCGACTACATACTAGTATCATAGATCAATACAACAGCAATTGCCAAGGCACAGAGTTGTTGTATAGAAGTTGAGTAGATAATTTCTCCTGTTAGATTCAGATTGAAACTTTCAGTGTTGGCACAGGGAATTAAAAGCATTTTGACCCTCGGCACTACAGTATTGATTGGAGAGAGTGGGTCTGAGCCTTGAGGTGCCTCTTTATACTCTATGCAGTCATTTTATTGTACTGCCAATGTGGGTGTGCTGTAGAAAATAATTGTGTATCAATAGATCATGGTTAATTAGTAGGTCAGTTATATCTATAATACTCAAAGAACGTGACATTAACTAGTTACTACTTAATACAAAAGAACTTGATACACAGTTGTTACAGAGATATGGTGTAGTAAAGCTACTCTTGTGTAACCAGGCTTGAGCTTGATTCGGATAACATAGCAGGATTGATTTTTTGATTGAAGAACTGTGTAAATTATAAGAGAATAACAACTATAGCTGATGGAGCCAAGACATTAATGGCTTGGAAAAGAATTGATTATCATGATTTGTATTTCATAAGATCTGATGCACTCGCTGATGAGATAAAGGGAACTTGAAATAGGAATGTTTGATTGAGGGTAGATGCAAGTAATGTATCACAATCGGAAGAAAGCTGATGTATTCGATTCGCATGTATTGTGAGCAAATATAGTTCGAGTACACAAATCGATGCAGTTATACATCAAAGGAATAGGAGTGGTTAGAAAATTAATGCCAATATTAGCCCTTCCATGTTCATCCAAAATCAATGCCTTCAAACTAGAGTTTAAAATGAGATAAAGGGCTTTATTGAGAACAAGAGAGCACCGCTTGCCGTTCTCAAAGTTCCAGAGCTGGTTCCTTCCATCAGTAGCACTCCACAGGTGAATTACTGTTCCAGGCTATAGTAGCACAATCCCCATTGCCCGACATCAATAATTGGCCGATATCACATCCAACAAAATGACTCACCGTTGGGTTACCATGGTCGGAAAGATCGAAGTTGAATCCAGTGCCAGGGAAGAACACGCGCCAAAAGTTCTGATCTTTACCGTTGCGACGGATAGCCCAGCGCGTCGGAGACGAGCTCGCAATGATGCGCGTATAATCGTTAGGTGCATCTTCAATGGCTAGATAGAGGTTGGAAGCCTGGCAGAAAATCGTCTGGTTGTCATCTGAGTCGGGCTCGCTGACAGTCCACTGGAAATAAATAGTCAGAACGTTGGTCCAGTGAATGGGAGGGAGATGAGGCGGACCTGCTGATTAGCCTGACCGTGAACAGTGAAGCCAATAATAGTGCGGTTGTCGCCACCAGAGAGGTCGAGCGCAGTACCTCCCTTTGCGTTGACGATCTTGTACGTGCCTGGAGCAATACCCTGAGTCATGTCGTAAGTTATGTCGGCTGTCGAACAGGTAGTGATTCTAGAGAGTAGACTGAAGTCTGAGGGGTATGGATGCAAATGAGACCCGTTTTATATGCTTGAAGATGCCATTATGCCGAGCACGAGGCTTTGGCACAGACGTTTAGCGTTCCACACGGCGCAGAATATTCCGACTGCAAGGTTGAGACCCTCAATCTCGAATACGTCTCCTTCACGTCATTCTCCACAGCTTTACTCGATTAATGCATATAATGAAGGATATCACACGAGATTTATAGGAGATGAGTGGATCTGTATGCGAGACATTTCTTGGCCTGAGCATTAGTACGGGCATTTGTGATGTATAGGATGTGCCTTACCAGTGCTTTGAGTAATATTTACCGTCCACTTTGGTTCTAGACTGCGGTGTGGAGCACTGAAATGCTCCTAGTTAATTAATAATCAGATGCCTCCATCGATCAAGCTCTAACCAAAAGCCGAAGGTTGTAATCCTTATGTATCGATTGTTAGACTTACTTGATACTCACGGTTTCACAAAGGGATAAGCTACGTTGTCAGCTCCACTGACTCATTTGAGAATCCAAGAGGAGATGTGGGCGGAGAACATCATGAAGAGAGAGACAGATCTGGCTGGTCGGCAGCTGAAAGAAACGAGGAACCTTGAGGGGTCACCCTAGTGACGTCATCAACTAGACACCATTTCAAAAGAACTCGATTTCTACACGGCAGACTAATGTTCGTAAGAGCTTTAGATTCGCCTCACTACTAGAGGACAAGATACCGCACCATATTTTGACTAAACGAAAGCAAGAACGACTGCATACCACGTCAGCAGAAAGTCTCATCCACCAAGCGAACGGCGATAATCGTCCTCCGACACTTCCCATTAATAATTACACGCCGGACTTGATAATGTCCGCTGCCTTCTCCGCAACTCCATACAGGGTGCTACTCAAGTGTGCACTGACGTGAAGAGGAAGTACGCTCGCATCGACAACTCGTAGGTTCTTTGTGTCATATACGCGTAACTTTCCGTCTACGACACCGCCCAAATCACGTCGCATCATCGCCGCCGTACCTATCTCATGCCAAACTGCAGAAAACCCGTTGGGTGCCGGAGCTTGAATCCAAGCGACCCATGCGTCGTCCGCTCCACCGTTCCCATCATTTGGTACTACACCAAGCCCAGGCACTATTTCGCCAGATGTGATTGTATCAAACGAAGTATAGTTAAGGACTTTGCGGGATAGGCGAGTTGCCGCAGTCTGTATGATCAGGTCAACATCGACGCTGAACCAGTTTACGGTTATAACTGGTTTTGAAAAGATGCTTGTGCCGTTAATTGTGACCCTTCCGCGGCTGAAAGGAACAAGCTGCCACATGCTGATACCAAGACCACTACAAATGCAATCGTTAGTGAATTGTGTGTGTGTAATTAGCATAAGCATATTACGTGTCGCCATCGGTGAAGAACAGAAGCTCAGCAACGGGCGCTAAGTGAAAATATAAATCAGTACAAAGACGTCTTAAAATAGCCAGCTTTCTATACCACTGGTATTAACGATCAATCCGGCTTGTATGCCGAATATTGTCTTGAGAGCGTCTGCATTTAACCCGTATTCCGCCTGACTCTCCGCCCACGATTCATATGAGCTCATGATATGGTCTGCTATCTCGTTCCCCGTCACGCTCCCATTTGAACCGGCATTTTCGGAGAAGAGTTCTTTTAGCGATGGGTAGGCGATACAATCGGACGGACCAAGCCCATCCTCGTCGAATGTAGGCTGAGTGGACTGTCCGAGGTTACTCTTTGTTCGCTCCATGAGGTTTTTGCCGACAGTCGAAAGATTCACCCTGACTTCGACGCCGAGTGGACTCAGGACAGACGGGTCGCCAATACCGGATATCTGAAGTAATTGCGGTGTACCAATTGTACCAGCTGAAAGTATGACTTCCAAACGTGCAGTTACTGTAAAAACGTCGCCAGTGTTATCAGACTTCTTGAAATGCACGCCCGTAGCGGTCACGTTCGGCACTGATCCGGAAAGGATCACGTTGGTCACCTGGTGATTAATGAGAGTTATCCAATTCGTTCGCTCATTTTCAACTGGCGAGAGATACGCCGTGGCGGAGGAGGAGCGGTGATCATAATCGTTCGGATTTATCGAATTAGGCGTGTAGCTCACACAATTGATATTTCCACCATTCACGTCCGGACAAAGCTTGATTCCGGACAAGTTGCGCACAGCATCGACAAATGCAGGTTGTTGAGGACCTCCAAACATGGCTTGCGGGAAAGCAGCATGAACAGGCCCTACAAAGCCATGGAACTTATTGACACTGTTTGCACCCTTTGCGCGTTGAGCATCGTCGGGAGGTGTGAACGATTCCGACTAGTCAAAGAAGATTTAGTCAAAGTCAAAGGGAGTTTATTAGATATCCGAGGAGCAAATCTTTTCGCGTACCTTCTTCATATATTCAAACAGGGAGTCGAAGTTCCAGTTCAAGCTCGCGTCTTCTTCGCCCAGAAGCTGCGCGAATGCGTCGTATTGCTCCTTCATACCCCGAGTCCATACGGCCCCATTAATAGAGCTACTCCCTCCTAGAGTTCGCCCGCTAGGATGAATATCCGGAACAAAGTTAAATAATCTTGCAATTTACCGATCAAGTCAAAAGAATCAGATACTGACCCTAAGATGTCCCTACCCAAGTCCGTTTCCCAAGTCCATGTCAGGCTTGAACCAAACGCAGTCCCATATTGTGTAACGTCATATACGCTCTTGTTTGTTCTGTCGTCGTTCCCAGCTTCAATGACGAGCACGGTTTTCGCGGAGTCCTCAGAGAGACGTCCAGCAACAGTGAGCCCTGCGAGTCCACCTCCGACGATAATGTAGTCAAAAGTTTGACCATTCGCAGAGCTGGCATCCGTAGTGACTCCAAATGCACGCTTGTGCAATGGTAGCGATGCCAGGGCAAATATAGACAGAGATAGGGAAAGGATTCTTTTAACAAGCGTAGCGGGAGTGCCCCAAGTACTCTCTCTTATTGAGACATCAAGCAAGTATCTACCTTATATACTACATAGTGGAGTCCAATAATCCAAGACATTCCAAGTACAGTAATTCTACATAAGGCAATTGGGGATTTCCTAATCCAGAGCACAATCTAATACTCCCCTTCAAGCATTAATTAAGAACTAAGACTGTATGCCTAATAGTTTGTTTAGATGCTTGATCTGCAGGATGTGGAGAGCCTTTGTAAGGATGTCTGCTAATTGGTTCTGTGATTGAACATAGCATACATTGATGTATTTGTTTTGAATGTAACATTGCACAAAGTCTTTTTGTAAATCAAGATGTTTAGTGCAAGTGTTGTATGTTATTTTGTCAGACTTTACAGTCTTTATTACACCTTGATTATTGCAATAAATTGTAATAGGTGCTGATTCAGTCTGTAGTACTTCTTCAGTGAATTGTTTGAGCCAAATGGCTTCTTGAGTAGCATATGCCAGTGCTTGCAACTCTGCTTTGTAAACAGATAGTAGTACCAGGTTTTGCTATTTGCTTGACTAAGATATGGTTGATTTAGCTAATTGAAAGACATAGCTGTTTATTGCTTTATGTCCTTCTGTCATTTGTCTGTCTGCATCACAATAGCCTTGTAGTTTTAAGGTGTTTGTGCTTCCAAGTTGAAGCCAACAATTTGTTGTATATTTTAAATACACAAAGCAATGTTTCACTACTTTGTAGTGATACATTTGGGGCTTTTGTAAGTAGTGTGCTAATTGCCCAGTAATATAGAATATGTCTGGCTGTGTACAGTCTGCAACATATCTTAACAATCCTACCATATTCATGTATAGTATTGTTTCATTATTACTTTCGTTTGTATTGTACATGTTGTTTGTATCATTAGATAGATCTATTCTAGGAGTAATAGGTGTTTGTAGTACCTTTTCGTTTTTGAAGTGGTAATGCTTGATTATACTTTCAATATAATGCTTTTACTGTAAGCTAATCATTCATTGAGGTCTATCTTGGCTTATTTCAATACCAAGTAACTAATGTATTTTGTTACTGTCAGTAAATACAATGTGTTGTCTTAATGCATGTTTAAATGCTGTTATTATAGTAATAGTTTTGCCAATAATTGTAATATTGTTGATGTGTATAAATGTTACAAGAATTGTTTTATTATTTTGTTTCTTGTAAAATACAGTATGATCATAGTTAGCTTGTTCTAATCCAATCTTGAGCAGTAGTTTGGTAATCTTCTTGTACTATTGTCTACCTGCTTGTTTCAATCTGTATAACACTTTATTTAAGCATAACACCTGTCCAGGTTTAATATCTGTAAGTAGCCTGCCTAGTAGCAGTTTCACATAAATGAGTTTGTCCTCATTTAATTCTCTGTAAAGATATGCAGATTTTACATCTATCTGATGTATTTCATAGTTCTTAGATGCTGCCCAAGATAACAATAATTGTATTGTTGATAGTTTTGTTACTGGAGCAAATAAGTTGTCAGAATAGAAGTCTATTCTATTCTTTTGAGTGTATCCTTACACTACAAATTGTGCTTTATATTTGTCTATTTGGCTGTTAGCCAGTCTTTTGATTTTATAGACAAATTTTGTTCCAATTACATTTGTATTTGTAGGAGGGATAGCATATATCCACATGTTTCATTGTTGAAGTGACTGTATTTCATCCTTCATAGTTTTGATTTATTGTTCTTTGTCTATACATGTTATAGCATTGTAATACATTAATGGATCATTATAGACTTTGTTGAGGAATTTGTTAAATTCTGTTAGATACATAGTTAGGTTTATATTGTCTTTGTAATTTAAACCTATAGTTTGTTTAACCAGTCTTTGCTCTTGTGTAGAGCATTGTATGACAGGTTCTTTATCTTTATTATTGTTATTAGGAAGAGTTTCATTATTGTTTGATGTATCATCATTATGATTATTCTCCCCTTCAATCCTAGACATTAGTTTGTCTATGAATTGTATGTTGCATTCAACAGTAATTTTATTATCATAGCACACTAAGTGACCTTTACTGTTGTTATCATAACCTAGCCATCATGTGTGTTGGCCTCTAGGTTGTAGTTTATGTGTTCGTTCGTTTTGTATGATACAATATACACTGAATTCTCATATATTATCTATTTGATAATGTTTGTTATACTGTTTGTAATATGGTGTTACAAAATTAATAGCAACTCTTAGTGTTCTGTTATGAATAAACATTTAATATTGTACTACATATACTCAGAATTTCATAGGTAACTTTGCAGATAACAGACACATATGTACACTGTTAAAGATAGTCTTATGTATATGTTCTACAACTCTGTTCTGCTGTAGTGTATTGTGTACTGTTAATCTATGTATTGTTCCTTGACTTTCAATGTACATAGTGAAGTCTTTACTTAGGAACACTGTATTGTTATCACTTTGGAGAGTTTTAACTCTTATACTGTACTGTATAAAGAGTTTTGTTGTATGCTTTACATATTCAGTGAAAGCATTGCTTTTATACTGTATAGGTAGCATAGTTACCCATTGTGTAGTGTCATCTACAATGGTAAAAAGATATTTGTACTTGCTATAAGCTTATACTAGGGCAGGTCCCCAAATATCAATATGGAGATGATCTCTATAGGATTGTACAAGAGGTGTTGTTTGTATTTTTGGTATTTCATTACATTGTATGTTTACTTTGATACAATCTGTACACTGTGCATTTTTATTGTCTGTTATTCTTTGACTTATAATCTCAGGATACTCTTGTATGAGTTTGTACAAGTAATTGAAATTAACATGACTCATTTGTTAATGTAAATCAACAATAGTGATTGTATTAATAGATCGTTTATTATGATGAGAAACTATCATATACAAGTTATTTCATACATGTATTTCACCAATCTTTGTATGAGTAAGAGAATAAATAATACATTCATTGTTTGTTTTCATTAAAACATATCCTGCTTTGTATAATAGCACTTTACTAATGAGCATGAAGTTCAGATTAGGATGATAGTATATGTTTTGTAGTGAAATTGTATTCACCTTTGTATGCTCATTAGCTTTGTCTTGTAGTTTTACATTAAATGTCATCACTCTACTTTTGGTTTGAATTGTAATTGAACTCCTCAATAACTTCTTTTGTATCATCAAATGAGTTCATGAAGTTGTCTACTTGTATAACACTATCCTCTTGTACTTCAAATGCTGAAAATACGTTGGATTCAGTAGATAGAGCAGATTGAACAGGTAAGCTGCTAGAACTTGATACTAAGACTTTTACAATTGTAGACTCTAGCATTAGTGTTTCATTAATGTCTTCAATAAATACTGTTTTGTTATTGTCTCTAATGCATACTACTGTATTAAGTGTAGGTTGAGACAGTGTAGTAGTAGTAGTAGAAGCAGTAGCTGTTTGCCTATACTTTTTCTTTCAAGCTTCTGTTGTTTTGCTTGTTAGAGGATTTCAGCAGTCTTTTAACATATACTCATACTTATTACAGTTATAGCATTTAACTTTATTGTAAGGCTTTGTTTTGCCTTTAGTTACACTTTTGCCTTTTGTTTGTAGGCTGTCTTGTTTAGTATCTTGTTTTGTTTGAGAGTACTGAGAATGATACTCAGTATATGTGTTTTGTAATTTGTGTATCAACTTAGCTAGTGTCAGAATGTCTTTCTGAGCTGCTGTAACTGTTGGTAGTTGATTATAATAGGTAATCTGCCTGTCTAGCATTGTTGCTACCCATCTATACTCACAAGGAGTAGCAAGGTTAATCACTGAGATGTACATATTGTTATTAGAGGCTTTATTATGTGTAGACAACTACCTATAGATTTGTTCAATGTTGTCTAACGTCTTATCAAACTGTGATACATACCCTTTTACTGTAAACAATGTAGATATGTCTACAGCATGTGTCATTGTTGTTTGAACATTGTATTGTTCAGAAAGCACCTTCATGAGACTTCTAACACTTGTATATATTGTGAAGTTTGTATAAATTGTATCAGTTATTGTTTTCATTATACAATGATACAAAACATTACCTGTATGTATGCCAGCATCATTAGAGGAAGGGGGATTGTGCTCTAGATAGTCTAAGAGCATTATAGCAGCAAGTGTACTGTGTATACACAAGTGCCATATCTTGTATCCCTTTGCACCAGCCAACTTTTCTGTTCCCTCAAAGAACTTTGTAATGTCAGAGTCCTTCATCATAGTGTTAACAAAGGTATGCACTGTAGACAACATTGTAATGGGTTTGGGGGGGCTGGCAGGAGGCAAAGGCATTCTGTGAGAGTGAGTGTGTGGGGGCATTCAATAGGCATCAAGGCTCATAACCTTTTAACAAGCATAGTAGGAGTGCCCCAAGTACTCTCTCTTATTAAGACATCAAGCAAGTATCTACCTTATATACTACATAGTGGAGTCTGATAATCCAAGACATTCCAAGTACAGTAATTCTACATAAGGCAATTGGGGATTTCCTAATCCAGAGCGCAATCTAATAGATTCGAATAAGCCTAGTCATTGGTAAGGCCAGGGATAGGACAACGACGAATGGGCCAAAGGATATTCAAAGTGATTTCAGAGCATATAAACGATTTTGATGACCGGAAGAAACGGCGATTAAGCGCGGGGTTATTCCTCGCGCATTCTGGTATGAGCGCGATGAATTCGGGCCGTCGGACTCCGTCATTTACATAGTACTTAGTACAAACAGCTTCTTCGAGACTCAATGGCAGCCCTGGCTCGTATTTTCAAACGCATATGCGACCACATCGGTACTGGAGAAGATAAGAAGGGCGAACAGCGCGCACGAAGACTCGCGGTAAAAAATGGGTCCGAGAGAAGACCATGCACCCACGAAGGATTGAATTACGCTGAATCACATAGCAAACAGAGAGCTTGTGGAATGTTCCTGAAGAGATACACAATAAAGACGGAATACAGCTTTCCGGACTTCTTTTTAGAGCTTTGTGGACCAAGATAATTGTAGATGGGGTGAAGACAGTGTCTCAAGCCACATTCAGCCATTGCATGTCAAACCCTTCTACATTTTGGCAAAAGTACGTAACAGCAGGCCGAGAGAGACGGAACAGATACTGCAGGTTAAGAGCTGGCAATTTGAAGTTTATGCAATGTGATGACGGATGAGAGCAACTTGCGGAAAGGACCCGCTGATCAGCCTGATCAGCCTTCCAAACTTAGTCTATCACGTAATGAAATTGGCAAAAACAGAACAAACATCCATCAATGCAGTCATGGCCTCATGCACTCTGGAGTCAAAGCATGCAAACATATTAATTCATACAGGCCTTGTAAAACGAAAATTCAGCCAGTCAATAATGGAACCACATGTCAAGACGCTACATATGTCTAATACCACTGAGCCTACACTGTAGTTCGCCTTGTACTTTAGGCAACACTAGCATTCCCTGGCCATCACCAAATCGAACACGAAAATGTATTGGAATTTACTGCTAAAGACATATATTTTTTACATATTGTGGATCCTTATATTCGCTTATAAAGTCTACATGTAAATATATTGCCTTGTCAGACTCTGCACGTTTTGGTGATGTGCTTTTAAATTGTAAGTTATTGATAATCGAAAGTATTTGCTCAAAATATACCTTCATTCCTGTCTGCTTGGTCAAATTCTATATTACTCAGATTCTTCATGCAATAGCTTGTGCCTTCATTCAATCCATACTTTCTGGCCTCCTTCAAGTTGATCAACGTCTGCTTCCTAATATGCTCAAGAACAACGGGTTTCCAGCTTGCTTGATGAAGTCCACCAGAAACTTGCTGTTGATCTGTAACTTGAGCTCTATGATACTTAGATTCGAACACGTTAGCGCCCTGGTTGCATACATTAAACCTTCACCGACACGAATACTCTTTTACTTACAGAATGAAATACATTGCTTGATCCTGAATGAGAACTCGGACAAGCCGGAATCTTTCCAGTACTCCGCTGCTTTTTAAAGTGCGAGCATCATGAGAAGTGTCCCATATATCATAGGAATCGACCTGAGTGTATATGCCACTACGCCATCTTTAAAAGTTTTTTGCTCGTACCAGTAGGGATCCGAGCGTACCGTATACGGGTACGACCGTACTCTGTACGGGTCTGTACGGGGTACGGTCGTAAAAATACGACCGTTTTTTGAGTTCTAGGGCACAAGTACGGCTACGGTGTGTACCGTATACAGCCGTATACGGTAATACGCTTGTAAATACAAATTTAATATTATATTAATAGAAAGAAATAATTAATATACTTTAAAATCGTTAAAAAGGCCTATTATTACTTTATATGTATGTCCCTATCAAATTAGCACTTGTTATGCCCATTTTCATCAATATATTCAGTAAATCTGAAATATAATTTGTATGAAGTAATAAAAGATAGTCACATGACTAACTATTTTGAGAAGATAAATAATATAATATTAATACATTGACCCCAAGATTAGCTAAATTTGGTGTTTTTATGTATAAAAGGTATATTATAAGGTATACAAAGAGAAGAAATAGTTATAAATTGTGCTACACATGTTATTAATACTGAAAATCTTCTTTGGATGTCCGTACTCTGTATACGGCCGTATACGGCCGTATTTGGCCTAATAGGATACGGGATACGGCCCGTTTTATACGAGCCGTATTTGGTGTCTCAAAGTCCGGTACGAGTACAGATCGTACCGTGACCGAAACGTGTCGTAACCGTACTGTACGGTACGATTCGGATCCCTACGTACCAGTCTATAATCCCGCATACAGTAACATTGTTTGCAAAAGCTACAGTTGTCACTGTTTTATGATGAATATAATCCAAGTCTGCAAGAAAATAAGGCTGAAAACCTACAGCCTTGTGCTAATATTCTATAAACGATGAAAGAAAATTGAGACTGCTTCGAAGGCTAAAAACGTCATAAGGAAGGTCGCTAATTTCTTATCTAATCTAATATACGGTCAGTGCGGGAAACTTTAGTATTCAACTACAAACCTCCAGTATTAAGTGCAAAGACTCGAACCATAAGAACATCTATGAGAATAAAATATAAGAAATATAATTCGCACTAAATACCACGAACACGTACAGTCCATCAGGACAAGATTAACCCAACCTTACAAATGTTTAGAAGAATACACACTTTAACTAAAATTGAAACCTACAGGATAGCTGATATCTCCAGGTCGCAAATTTGCCTGTGCCATGTTAGGCTAATGAAACGAATTATGTACTGTGTGACTCACATCTTTAAGAGAGAATTGTCAGTAATTATTTCGACGAACAGACTCGGAAGACTCACATGACATTGACAACCGGTGGGTTATAGATTGCCACTTATACAGTATTGAAGCATTACAGACAAATTGCAAATAACCAAAACTGTTTACTTACAAAATGGACTCAATATTGCTCTGAAAGCACCAATATATCTGTTCTGAAGGCCTGTCAGTGCATGGTTAGCACTGGTAACATACAATTTTGCTCTTCAACCCACCAAGGAGTAGACCACAGCTATTATCTTTTGTTTGTTATTTCCCTTCTAAACAGACATGAGCCTCTAGTGGCTGCTCAAGCAACAGAAATAAAGTACCTAGAAAAACTTGACCTATTGGGTGACTTCCTGTAGGATTTTGGAAGCTTCCAAAATCCAAACTACTTGTACCTGTCTTATAAGCAAAATAAAAAAAATTATTCCAGACTGTAGCAAATGTTTCTGCAGTTGTTAGATCATTTTGATTCTATTTCACATAAGGCAACATCTGACACATTTCTGTACAAAAAGGGTATAGATAAGATCTGTATGATCTTACTTATACCTTTTAAGGCAGGTACTTGATGGATGGAATGACTTTCTACTCTGAAAGGGGGGGGTCAGACCCCCCTTACAGATTTTCAGACTGGAAGACAACAAACTACATGTGTTATTGGTTCTCATATTGCTTACTCTTACTACCCTTTGCTTATATTCAGACTACTCCTATTCCAGTACCTTTTTAACCTGGAAATCCTTCCAAAAGTCTACAGGAAGTCACCCATTGTAATTAAGGTAGACGAAAGATAAACTCGACAAGCTGTGTGAATCTGAAATGTATGCGTGGGAAACACTTGACTCATTTTGACTCAGCTGCCATCACATCAAACGTTAACTTTAATCTGTACCTCTCATCCTGGCCTTTCCTACATTTTACATTTTTAATGTTTTTGAGGATGATTAACCTTAGGCCCAGTGGCCCAAGACGAAGGCGTGGTTAAAAACAACTGTCTCAACAGCGCGTACGTTGGGGGTTCCCTCTCACCGCTCTGTAGTAAATTGCTTACAATGCTTCCTAGCCTACCTTCGTGTTCAATCGATTTCGGCTGCACCCGCCGCGGGAACCTTCATAAAACCCTCGAAAATTTCGTGGATCGATATCGCTACCAATATGTACCATAAAAGCTCTCTGACTTGGTGAGCTTGCAATGTTTTTCCTCGACGTCCGTCTTTTGCATTGACCTCGGAATGAACCCCTCTGAGGCCGTGAATGTTATGCAAGCCAATCTGTAAGTCGACTTTCTTGCCCTTTACTAGTTCGACATTTAATATTCGGGGTGGCAGGACGAGCATACTGGATGTTTCCGAGCAGCCTCCTACGAGTTTTATTCGTTTTTGTCTTCAACTGGCTCAATACGAGCGCTAGCAAAGTGAGTACTTGTAACTTGACGAAGGTTCGGCTTGGTTTGGATTCCTGCAAAATCTGGCACTCATCCTCAATCGATAGTGCTACGGGGCGATCCAAGCGTTGTCTTTCGACTGTCGTTGTTGGGAGTTCTGGTCCGGTTGCAACGTACTCGGCTCTTCTCACTTGGATAATGTTCTAGGGTGGTTGAAGCTCTGCAACCCTACCAAGCTACTGTTGTCTAGCACATCGTCTTGATCCTCGTCTCTCGACGTCGCTTGCGCCAATCAAGTTATGAGAAGGCTTGACTGATCACGAAGGATCAGCAAGCCAAAAAGCCGACGCCGAAGTGGGCGTCGCTTTTATATTATTACAGGGAGAGGGAAGCCTTTGGCCGTACAGGAAATGCGAAACAGAGAGAACCCAAAAGAGGAAACAAGCAGATACAAATACAGGTACAAGTACAAGTACAGAGCAGGTCGAGGATATGAACTGCTGGCAGAAGGACGAGGAAGGAGGAAGGAGCTAGTGGTGCGGTCGCGGAAGTAAGACAGCGGAAAGTGGAGACAAATGTGTCGAAAAGTAGATGTCGAAAGTGATGAAGGGCTATCGCTGACGTTGTGCAGATACCTAGTTCTACAGTCCCTTAGCACGTCGCTGCATCGGAGGACGCTAACGAGCAGCTAATATACACTCTGGAAGACACGGATCAACGGGGAATAGCGTTGGAGGGACATTATCTAGCAGAGCGCTGACGACTTGCTTACGATGGTCGAAGTCCATGGACGCGTTAGTGCCGTCGCACTAACAAGAAGACAAGCACAGGGAGCCAAGAGGACGAGCGGGTCCATTTTGCGATTCGCCACCGTAATTGAGGTGCGGAATGATCTCTTGGTCGTACCCATCTTCCTATGGACAGCCATTGAGATGAACGATTAAAACACAAGGATTGCATATAGGCCTGACGCTCGAGATTGTATGGAACCGTTTATTGTATCCATTCCCACATAGTCTGACTAGCAAGGTCTGTCTCCTCGCCATGCTGTAGAATTGTGTGAGGTGAGACGGGGTGGGATGGAGGAAGAGACGGAGGGCTGGGAGCTCTCGACCTTCTTCTGTCGCCAGGGATGAAGGAACCCGAAACATCGTCTTCGTCCTCGTCTTCGTCCTCGTCCTCCTCCTCGTCCTCATCCCGAATGACCATCAACTCATCCGGTGGTGCCGCTTCCTCCATCATTCCCGGAAGGACAATTACAAGGGACCTGTCGAAGGTTTGGTCGTCTACGGACTGTGCACGTGGTGTCTGAATCGGTGTCGAACCGACCGACACGCTTTTATCCCTGTGTGACCTGTCGTCTCCGGTCATCAACTCCGGTGTACTCCGGTTACTGTCAAACGGGAACGTGTCCTCGGTCGCCAGTTCATATTCTGGCATCACTGGACTCCAATCCCATACCGGGGGTGTATCCCAGAGGTAATCCTCCTCTTCATCCTCCAGTTTAATGAGTGTGAAGTCTACCCCATTAGCTAGCGGATCTCCTAAACTCGGTTGTTCTGATGCACGATCTGGAGATGGCGACCTCGTAGTCCTGTTTCCCTCGTCACTTCCCGAGTTGGCGGGACCTGCGGGAAAGACGACGCTGCGTGATCGCAGCTGACGGACGTTGGTCACACCAATCGTGTTGTCTAACGATATTGAACATGCGTTGGATGGCCCCGCAGCGGCGTCCTCACTAATATGCCGCCTCTTCATTGGCCTTGCCTCGTCTTCTTCGCCATCCACGCACTCGACTGGGCGTTTGCCGCCTACGCGGACAGCACGATCTTGGGTAGTCGCCCTTCTGCTTTTTTTGCGGGTCCACCCATGGCCACGCTTTTTACGAGCCTTCGGCTTGGGAGGGGGCAGGGAGGAGACTCCCAGAAGTTCTGGGCCTTATGTCAGCTCAATGCTGCACTTACGTATGGAGGACTAACTCACCTTCACGAGAATTTTGCGGACTTTCGGTGGAAGATCCCGAGGTCTGTGGCTGGCTGTCAAGGACCTCGGCTGAATAAAGATTTTAATGAGGAACTTCGACTTGGAATGAGGAAGACGACTTACTATTTCTTTTACATTTCGTTCCGACGACTTGCGCAGTTTGGGTGTTAGAGGACTGGGCCTCTATAGTGATGTTCGGTTGAAGAGCACCGACGCTTCCCGTGGTGGTGCTGAAGGCATTGGTACGGACGTTGGCGGAGCCTTCAGCCGCATTGTTATGGACGGCGGTGCCCTCTCCGGCCATTGATTGCGGGCCGCTTCCAGATTGCGCAATATGCGAACGCCTTGAATGCGTTAACGACGTCCCATTACTGACTGTCGCTCCCATGTTTGCGGACTGAGTGGCTGCCAGTTGCTTCCGCATTGCGCGAGTGAGTACCATTGTGCTCTGTTGTGTAAATGACGCGCGGAGGGGGGGAGTTGTTCCGAGGAACTCTTGTTGTGTGGGGAGTGGGGGAATTGAGCTGAGTTGGTTGGCTTTGAGAGCCACGCTCTTTATATGATTTCACGATAGGGTCTGAGCCTCATCAAGACACATCAGTACAATCTAACCATCTTCGTTAACCATTATCTTCTAGGCCTCATCATCGCCTATATTCAAGGGCGGTTATTCCCGAGGCCACGATCAGTGAGTATTGAAGGAAATGCAGTGCAATTTTTTGACGTGCATGGTCTGGTTATATTTTTCTTTTCTTCTCCTCTGGGACTGCCTCGTGCTTTCTCCCGATCCTGTGGAGAAGAATGGAGGAGGGATTATGGATTGATGGGATTCGATTGTCTGCAGTTTGCATGACTCTTATTCTTTCGTAGCCGAATTGTCGAGTGCTAGTCGTGCTTCCGGTCAAGAGATATTGTCGTAAGATCCGGACCTTGAACGATACAATTGTACTTCTCCCTTATGACTCCTCGAACGATCTAGGGTTATGGCGCCGAGGACACGTACGGCAACTATTTGTTTTGGCTTTATCCATAGATTTTTCTTTAGAAAGTACTTCCGTTCGACGTTGAGGAGTCTGTCAGCAATTACTTGTGAACGGCGTGGAGGACCCTTGATGCATTCTCTTAATCTGGGTACTCCTGACTTATAGGTCCAAAAGGAACAAGGCGCATGTACACGAACTAAGCGCAACGCTTGAGCCTCGTGTTTTGACACTCAATATATTCCTTTTTTTTAATCTTGAAAAATGAGAAATACCCGATTCATCCTCTGTTTTTGACTCATTCCCCTCTGTTCTTGCTGAGAATTTTACACCAACATGCTAGAAGCAACCCACTGGAAGGTGGAACTGGGCAGGAAAGCGGGATCAGTGCAACGAACGGTCATCACACTCATTCTATATTTAGAAGTTCACTTTTCGTGGCTCAAGAGCGTGGGAAAAGGAACTTCGTTTACGCCATGATGCGTTGGACAGTGATAAGTATAATAGATACTTATGTGTGCTCATGTACGTTACTAGAATCATTTATGTGGATGATTATTGACTTTGGCTTTAGTTGGTAAGTTAAAGTTTGTCCTTATTTTTCCCCCCCAAGTAGGTAAAAGAGAATATTGGGAGGCTCAAGTGGCAATACTGTACAATATAAAAGTAAGCAGAATTTACATCCCCTCCCCCCACTCTTTCCATCTCTCTCTCTCTATCACTTACTACAGTCGCTCACAGAACGTATTTTTCCTCGTCATTTTGTGGAGTTGCAAGTCGTGAGACCGTCTCACGATTTGCAACACCACATGATGAAAGGAAACACTGAGACCGGGTGCGATGAGGGAAGAGATGGAGGGCTGGAAGCCCTCGACCTTCTTCTGTCAGCAGGAATGAAAGAATCTGAAATATCTTCATCGAATTCGCCCGTCCTCATCCCGAATGCCCATCAACCCATCTGGTGGGGCTATGTCCTCTATCATTCCCAGAGGAACAATTATGAGGGATTCTGCAAAGGAATGAACATCCACCGACTGTGTGCATAGTGTTCTTATGAGTGTTGAGCTGACCGAGTTACTTTTGTCCCTTTGGAATTCGATTTTCCATAGGGATAAAAGCGACTGTCACATAACCTCACTTGTCAATTCAATTTTCAGCATCAGCCGGCTCCAATCACAAGGCGGTGGTGTATCCCAGAGGTGATCCTCCTCTTCTTCCTCCATTTTTATCAGTGAAAAATCTACCCCAATGGCCAGCGAATCTTCTATCGTTGGTGCATGGCCATGATGTAGACAGTAGAGATGGTGACTGTGTTGTCCTACTTTCCTTGCCCCTTTCCGAATTTGTAAGGTTGTCGGAAACGATGATACTGCGCGATCGCAGTTGAGTTGGTTCGACATCGATAAGAACACCACGTGTGCAGTCATTAGCTCCGGTGTGCTACGGCAGCTGTTGTGCAGGAATGTAACCTTGCTTGCTGGTTCAGTTTTCTACATCAGCATGTTCCAATCACAAGGGTACAGTGTGTTGTAGAGGTAATCCTCCTCTTCATCACCCATTTTTATCAGTGTGAAGTCTACTCAAATGGCCAGAGTATCTTTTATCGTCGGTGCACTATAAGGGGACGGAAACCTCGTTATCCTGTTACTCTCGTCCTTTCCCGAGTTTGCAAGATCATCAGAAAGGATGATGCTGTGCGATCACAGCTGCTTAACGTTGGTTTCACCCATCGTATTGTCGAAAGAGAGAGAACAGGCGTCAACTGGCCCTGCAACGGCGTCAATAGTACGCTGCCTCTTTGTAGGCCTGCGCTGGTCTTCTTCGCTATCCACGCCCTCGACTCGGTGCTTGCCTCCCAGCCTGACGGCACGACCTTGGGTAATCGTCTTGCAGTTTTCTGCGACTGCAACCATGCCCACGTCTCTTGCGAGCCTTCGGCTTGGGAGGGGGTGGGAAGGAAGCGTTCAGAAGGTCTAGATATTATGTCAGCTCAATGCTGCACTTACGTCATCAGGAAAATGTCATGTTTCTTGTAATTTCTTATAGACTTTGTAAAGTAACATATGTATTGTATATACATTGTAAAGTAATTGTAAGGTTTTTAAATAAATTGTAAGTTTTAAATAAGACATGTTAATACATATAAAGTCTATATAAGTTCTAAGGATGAATAAAATCTATTACATGTATTATACTAACTTTGTATGACAACCTAAAGTATTATGCTTGTATTATATTTAAATTATAATCTTAAAGAAAATATTATATTTATAATATAATAATGTAATAATAACTATTGTTAACTTATACTTTATATAAAAGATGTAAGATTACTTATTATATCATTATTATCTTAATAAGAGTATACTATGAGTATATAATATGTATATTATACTTAGATTATTTATACAAATAGTTTGTAATATTTGTATAAAATATTTTATCTACTTGTAATCATTACATTAGTGTGTTTATTTAGAAAGTTATATACATGTCATATTACTTTTTACTATATTACAAAGATCAACAATTTTATTTAATACTTAAATACAATATTTAAAATGTTCTATCAGTTGGTGGCTGATACTTAACTTGCTTATGTAATTAACTGCTGAAGATTGAGAGCATATAATAATGTACTTATGTGTGCTACTCTTTCTCTTCAACCTCTACCATCTCTCAAAGTCTAACCCTCTGCCCTACCACCATGTTGTTACTTTTGTCCTCTCTAGTCTTCCTCCTCTTACAAGTGTCCTACTAGCTGTCACTCTGTCTTTAGTAATGTAGACAATAAACATTACTACACTTGTCTCTCTGATCTACTATTGTAATGCCTGTACTGAATCCCAGATTCTGTACAACTGACTACACTGTACCCTCCTAGTCTCAACAATGTAAAATGTAAGCAACTGGTTCACTTTATAATAACCTGTATAATAGTTACTCATCCCTCTCCTTCCAACTTTTTGTCCCCCTTCTATCCCTTCTACTCCTTGTTCTACTGATTGTGTTGCCTCTCCTTTATTATCCTCCTTTTTTTACATTTGTCTACCTTTTTGCATTTGCATTTGTATTCACACATCTGTATTATTGACCAGTAGTAAACAACTCCTTTAATAATTCTATATATCTATGTACTTCTTCCTACTCTGTAGTGTAAGTAATAATTAATAAGTACAAGCTTACAATAATGTCCTTATACAACTATTCCTATAGTACTACCCTCTCTCTAATACTGTATGTGTTTGTCAGTAACAGTGTAGAGGGGACCTGAAGGCTCAGTAAGGGGACTCAGGCTACAACTATTCTACACAATAGAAATACAGAACACAAGTACTAGAATATAGACAGACTTTACAGAACAGACAGAGAGTGAGAGTGAGACAAGAGTAGAGTATATAGAGTGAGTCTAAGAGTACAGGACTATCTAGAGTAAACAAGATCAAGACTACAGGACCAGTCTAATCTTGTATACCTATATATACTAAACTATACAAGAGTACTTAGAGAATAGTAAGCTACTAAGAATGACAAGCTATAAAGAATGAAAGAAAGGAAGGTTAAAGATAAAGGTACAAAGAATAAAGGGATAAATAAAGGGTAGAAGACTATAGAATAAGTAAAGAAAGAAGGGGTGGTCAAAGGAACAGAATAATAAAGTAAGGAGGAGTAGTAGTAAGAGTCAGTCTACATATAAGTTATAGATAGTACTCTTGAGGGACAGAAGTCCTGAGTTCTAGTACAGAAGAGTGTAGAACCCTTAAAACTGAAGGTATAAGAGTAGAGAACTGTAACATTACCCTCTCTCTAAAACCAATTGTCCTAATTAGTAAACATTAGACTTAGTTAGTAGCTTAAGTATAGGTTAGAGTAGTAGGGTTTGAAAATCTGTAAGGTAGAGTTAGTGTAAAGCACCTAGATAAAGTTGATAGAAGTCTTAGATTGTCTTAGTAGTATGAGTAAGATTTTTGGCAGGTTCCTAAGTGTGTTCTTTAACTAGGTACCCTTTCTAGTAAACAAGGAACTTGAGCTTTCTACACACTAACTTAGTATCTACTATGTACTCTACTTTGTATTCTAGTTTAGAACTAATAAGTTCTAGTAGAGGTAGTAGGGGTCTTTGTTGTAAGGGAAAACCTGGATTGTAGTACTGAGACAACAGAACCTTGTTAAATACTAGGTGTATGTACTTCTATATTGCTAAAAGTTAGAGTTTGTAGACAGAGGTACTAACCTTCTTTTTAATGACAAAGGGTCTGAAGTACTTGTTGTCCAACTTCTTCATTAGACAATCTGTAGTCAGATTAGTAGCTTTTAGTATAACTTTGTTACTAGACTAGTAATCCTTAGCTACAGATTTCTTCTAATTATAGTTCTGCTTCATAACCTGTACTACCTTCTTTAAAAGAGCTTATGTATCCTCCCTAGTCTTGTGTATCTGTTCTACAAAGTCTGTTGTAGATTCAGAACTACTGTTCTAGTTCAGAACTGTCCCCTAATACAAATGTCTTCTATAGTTAAGAAAGAACAGGGACTGTCCTGTTATAGAGTGTTACTAGTTATTGTGTATGAATTCTGTTAGAGCTAACTATTCAGACTAGTCTGACTACTAATGATTGATGAACATTTAGAGATAGAGCTCAATCTCCTGATTAACTTACTCAGTTTAACTATTAGTCTGTAAGTAATATATAGTAGAAGGGTTCCTTTGAATTCTAAGAAGTATGTATAAGTCTTACATGAATTTTGACTTGAATTACAGTCTACAATTGTAAATGAGCTTTCAAGGGAGTCTGTACAACTAGAAGACATAATCCTAATAAATGTGTACTATACTTTTAGAAGTGAGTTCTGTTTAGGTTGGAACTGTGTAAACTTACTTAGAAAATCAGTCAACAATTATACAGATAGTGTTGTAACTCTAAGACTCAGGTAGTTTACTAATCAGATTTTTAACAAGTGTAGTAGGAGTGCCCCAAGTACTCTCTCTTATTGAGACATTAAGCAAGTGTCTGCCTTATATACTATATGGTGAAGTCTAATAGTCCAAGACATTCTAAGTGTAGTAACTCTACATAAGGCAATTAGGGATTTCCTAATCCAGAGTGCAATCTAATACTCCCCTTCAAGCATTAATTAAGAACTAGGACTGTATGCCTAATAGTTTGTTTAGATGCTTGATCTGTAAGATGTAGAGAGCTTTTGTAAGGATGTCTGCTAATTGGTTCTGTGATTGAACATAGTATACATTAATGTAATTGTTTTGAATGTAACATTACACAAAGTCTTTTCATAAATCAAGATGTTTAGTGTAAGCATTATACATTATTTTGTCAGACTTTACAGTCTTTATTACACCTTGATTATTGTAATAAATTGTAATGGGTACTGATTCAGTCTGTAGTACTTCTTCAGTAAATTGTTTGAGCTAAATGGCTTCTTGAGTAGCATATGCTAGTGCTTGCAACTCTGCTTTGTAAACAGATAGTAGTACCAGGTTTTACTGTTTGCTTGACCAGGATATGGTCGATTTAGCTAATTGAAAGATGTAGCTGTTTATTACTTTATGTCCTTCTGTCATTCATCTGTCTGTATCACAATAGCCTCATAGTTTTAAGGCATTCATGCTTCCAAGTTGAAGCCAACAATTTGTTGTATATTTTAAATATGCAAAGCAATGTTTCACTACTTTGTAGTGATGTGTTTAGGGCTTTTGTAAGTAGTGTGCTAATTGCCTAGTAATATAAGATATGTCTGGCCATGTACAATCTGCAACATATCTTAACAATCCTACCATATTCATGTATGGCATTGTTTCCTTATTACTTTTGTTTGTATTGTACATATTGTTTGTATTGTTAGATAGATCTATTCCAGGAGTAATAGGTGTTTGTAGTGCCTTTTCGTTTTCAAAGTGGTAATGCTTGATTATACTTTCAATATAATGCTTTTACTGTAAGCTAATTGTTTGTTAAAGTCTATCTTGGCTTATTTCAATACTAAGTAACTAATGTATTTTGTTACTGTCAGTAAATGTAATGTGTTGTCTTAATGCATGTTTAAATACTGTTATTATAGTGATAGTTTTGTCAATAATCATAATATTGTTGACATGCATAAATGTTATAAGAATTGTTTTATTATTTCATTTCTTGTAAAATACAGTATGATTGTAATTAGCTTGTTCTAATCCAATCTTAAGCAGTAGTTCAGTAATCTTCTTGTACCATCATCTACCTGCTTGTTTCAATCTGTATAACACTTTATTTAAGTGTAACACCTGTCCAGGTTTAATATCTGTAAGTAGCCTGCCTAGCAGCAGTTTCACATAAATGAGTTCATCCTCATTTAGTTCTCTGTAAAGATATGCAGATTTTACATCTATCTGATGTATTTCATAGTTCTTAGATGCTGCCCAAGATAACAATAATTGTACTGTTGATAGTTTTGTTACTAGAGCAAATAAGTCATCAGAATAGAAGTCTATTCCATTCTTTTGAGTGTATCCTTGCACTACAAATTGTGCTTTGTATTTGTCTATTCAGCTGTTAGCCAGTCTTTTGATTTTATAAACAAATTTCATTCCAATTATATTTGTATTTGTAGGGGGGATAGCATATATCCATGTGTTTCATTATTGAAGTGACTGTATTTCATCCTTTATAGCTTTGATCCACTGTTCTTTGTCTATGTGTTATAGCATTACAATACATTAATGGATTGTTATAGATTTTGTTAAGGAATTTGTTAAATTCTGTTAGATACATAGCTAGGTTTATATTGTCTTTGTAATTTAAACCTATAGTTTGTTTAACTGGTCTTTGCTCTCATGTAGAGCATTGTATGACAGGTTCTTTATCTTTATTATTGTTATTAGGAAGAGTTTTATCATCATTTAATGTATCATCATTATGATTATTCTCCCCTTCAATCCTAGACATTAGTTTGTCTATGAATTGTATGTTGTGTTTGACAGTAACTTTATTATCATGGTACACTAAGTGACCTTTA